TAGGCGTTTAGGGGTTTAGGGTTTCTTAAGGCCCTACCTAAGCGAAGGCCTGGGCGTCCGTGAGACCCGGCAGCAAGGGCTCAGCCGAAGCCATCGCTGCTTCAAGAAACTACCGAGTCGGCCCCCGGCTTCGCTAGGCCGTGGCATTCACGGAGGGTTCAGGGTTTAGGGCGTATAGGTTTCGGGGTATTAACCATAGTATTGTATGGAAGACATATGAGAACATCATACCTTAAGGTGCTACTGTTGGGAATGTGGGATTGCGGCATCCAGTTCCAGAAAGATGCCTGCGTCCCGCTGGATCTAACTCTCGGCACGTCTGGCAATAGAGGCTTTCCGGCTCAACCGTGAATAGAATTTCGCAGGAGCCGGGGACAGCGCAATCTTGACGGCCAGGCAATCCTGCTCCCGCAAACCCTGAGGGTGCCTTTGCGGATAGGAGCCGAAGTTTTGTCCGCGAATTGGTTCAGGGCCTGTTTAGGGCTTAGGCTTCCTTCTCTCCCTCCCAAAGTTGTGGCATGGTCTGCTTCAGTGGAGTTACACTGTCCATGGTCGGCCATGTTTTGCAGCTGGAGCTCAGCGCGCGCTGTGCACCGCGCAGGGTCTTGATGCATCTCGGGCCTTGCAGCCTCCTCCTCAAGCCTACCAGCGAGGAAAGAACAAGCATTCAAAATTGGACGCATATTTTACAAATTCCAATACAAGTCATGAAGGCCGCCTTCCACTATACAACTGTTACAATTCTTGCATGCCGCTGCCTCTGTCTTCTGGCAAAAGAAGCAGCATGTCGGATTTGGCCCTCTCACAAAAATGCTTGTCTGCGGATGCAACGACACAAAACCGCCGACACTCCGAGCAGGTCACTACAGCGGAACACAAAAATGTGACTGCTTGGGAGGTCAAGAGCGAAGCGAACAGATACGCCGGCCTGTTAGCCATTAAAAAGCTTTCAACTGCAGCAACAGCCTCCTTTGGAGAGTAAGCGAAAAAAGGTGCACGTTTGGCTTGGGACTGCATGCCGCGTCCGTCTAGCCCTATGGCCCTATGGCTTTTCAAGTTCTCAAGCAATATCAAGCAACCTCTTTGGGAGTTGCAGCAGGGGATGGAGCCGAACCGGGCACGGCCAGACCCACCACCACATCTGACTGATTGAACTGCGGGCTGTTGTACCTCGGCGCCAAGACAGACGACAATGGATTTCGGATGCCCGTCCCTCATTTACGTAAGCCTAGTTGAAGGTTTCGCGGAGCTCAACGACTGGGGCGCAGGATGTTGAGCAAACGGTGTTGCCGAGCTGCGGCTCGTTCACCGGCTTTGGTTTAATCATCTTGGCCCAGAGGCAGTAGATGCCAATGCATGCAGCAACCACAACGACTGTGACGGAAACGGATACCTCAGCTGCTTCCAAACTTCCAGGCGAGGATTGTAGGCTCTGAACGACTCATATCAGAGCAAAACCATATTAGGACAAAAAATTACAGCTTCAGCAAGCCATTCGTATCCATTTGTCATCAGTCCTCCCAACAATCCGTTGCTGAAGAACAGCCGTGACACGGCCACAGCAACCCCGACGCCCCCATCGTCCGTAGCCGCCTCATCCTTCTGCACCTGCAGGGCGCCATGTGTCGCAGTCTGTCGGATTTGGGGTGCGCCTTTCCTTTGCTGGGGGCTCTGGGGCTTAAGATGGCTTAAGCTTTGCGCTTACGACAGCGGCGTGCGGGCATTCTGCAACTAAAGGATAATCCAGCGCGACGTGCACAGCCTTTCAGGTTCTACGAGGCGTCACTAGAAGAAGTGTGACATGCGCCACCCAAAGACACAAGCACAAAGCCTGGACAAACGAGAACTACAACATATGTCAACAAAGATACACAGCGTTAAGACTCCAAGCTCTTGCTTCCCCGCTGAAACGACCTACTGTAGCGTGTCCCGGGCACCGCATCCTCTTCGCACTCGAAGCACTGGTGGGACCAAGTTGCGTCCTCAGTACCCAACGGACACATACCGTCGCATACCCCAGCTAGAGAAAGCGAACGCTTCCAGGCACTGCAGCGATCAGAACATCAACACACATCAACACATCCCGAAGTCGGACACTCATGAAAAGCAAACCCTTACTTAATCCCTCTCTACCATGAGACTGGCGGCAGGAAAGTCCAGGGCGCACGCGCCCTCGTAGAGGTTGCCTGATGGCATGACGGTCTCTTGTATAAGTTGCCGTACCTTCCAAGAGCCTTCCTAGTGGCCCTGCTGCGATTGAGCTGTTCGGCTTCAGCAGCTCCAACTTTTTGGGAGCTCCGGGAGAGTTGGCAGAGGAGCAGGGTGTGAACTTAACGCGTGATGTTCCTCAACGCTCGAGGTCGAAATGAAGACATAACTGCCGATGTCAAACA